CAGCAGGAAAGTTCAATTCAGGTTCTGGGTCCCCTTTGTCAAAGTCTCCTGGTATGAATTCAGTTGCATGGGACACTCCTCGTGCGGGATTTTCCATCCCTCAGCAGAGAATGAGCCACACAGCCCCCTTCCCTAACCTGAGAACACCACTTCATGCCCATGACCAAGAACACAAAGTCATGGTTTGAATGGGTGGAAGTCCCCTGAGCCCAAAACACTTTGGGGGAAGATGCTGGTTCATACCTTGCTTAGACCTGCCTGCATATCCCCTGTTGCCCTCGGGGCAAAGGATCCCCTTATGTAAGCAGGAAGTGAGATGTGAACAGTGAACAGAAGGAACGGCATGGACTTACCAGGCACTCGGCACAGCGGACACAAAACCTCGCCATGCACGCCTCCTCCTCCTGGTCAGTGCTGTGGAAAGAGGACAAACCAGGTCTGCAAAATCACTGTTCTCATCAGAGGGCAGAGCAGTGAAAAGCACAGGTACTGAAGTCAGACAGGTCTGGTTTTAGATTCCAGTGCTGTCACCTACTACTGAATGATGGGTGACAGCAAATTACTTAAGCTCTGGGAGCATGTTTCCTCACATATACGGTGCCGATATTACCACCTACCATTGAGGTTTGGTTGTTAGGAGTAAGTGAAAAATAAATGCATGTTTCATGTGTACATGTCCAGCACATAATAAGTGTTCAGTTAAAAGGAATTAGTCAGAGACCAATAGATGGTGTAATGGTTACATCATTGGACTCCTACATAATTGACCACAGTTCAAGTCCCGGACCTGGTGGTTTACACCTGCGTGTGTGTGTATGTGTGCCCAAAATCCCAAGAGGATGAAAAAAAAAAAAGGATTGTGATGTGGTCATCCTTCCTGGGGGTTGATTTCTCACTTTCTGTTTCTCTGGTGAGCGTACGTGCCCATAGCAAAACTCTCTCTCTAAAAGATATGAATAAATACAAGGAACTAGTTATAATCATTCATTCTGAAATGTGGTGAGCACCAATGTCTGAGATACTTGTTAGGCGGGGGTATGGTCATACCACAGTCCGTTTCCCTCTGTTTCACCGTGCTGCCAGAATCATTGCCAGATGCCGCACACACAAGCACTTGGCCAGTTTTTCACGCTGCCTGGCTGGGACTCGAACCAGTGTTGGCCACATGGGATCCAACTCCCAATACACAGCACTTAACTACTGCTCTATGGAGCCTGCCCAAACAGGGCTTTTATATAGATTTTTGTAATTTTTTTTGAAAAGTAGATTTGTTTTGTTTTGTTTTGTTTTTTGGAGAGATTTTCACTGTAGGGCGCGTGCGCTCGCCAGACAGACAGAGAGAGACATAGAGACAGAAAGCGAGAAATCACCCCCCAGGGGGGATGGTCACGCCACAATCCCTTCTCCTCCATTCTCCTTTCGGGATCTTGGGCACACACGCACACGCGCCCGGCGTGAGTTTTAAGCCACCAGGTCCGGGACACGAACCACGGTCGACTACGTGGGAGTCCAGCGACATAGCCATTACGCTAACTGCTGGTTCCCAAAAGTAGATTTGTTTTTAGGGAAAATACTGGATTATTCCTGCTCACTGGCAGAAAAATATTTAATAAATACTTTTATCAATTTAATCACAATCCATGTAGCTCTTTTAGAGCATCTGCTGACCAAGAACAGATCTTGCTTATTTCAATCTCTTTCTCCCTCTATGGCTATTTCTAAAGCCTCTCTTGTCTCTCAGACATTTTCTATCAGTGGACGTCATCTCCATGCCAGAAAGATGGAGAAGGGAAAATAACTGACTTGGGATTTCCTTTGTGTTTTCAAAGTTGAGATATCTACCTCAGGGTTTATGTTTCGAGCAACGGCATTACACGGTCTGATTCCAAAGCAGAAAGGTAGGACCGTGCTCTTGACCCCTCCATCCCCTCTCTCCAGCTTCCTATCCACAAGTTTCAAGTTCAGCCTTCCTTCTGGCATTCCTTAGCAGAACTCTTCTCTTCAAAAGGATATTTCACCAGCTGAACTAAGCTCTGCCGGCAAGGAAGGAAGGTGTGGATATGGGGGACTGGGTGCTGTCCAGGAGACAGGGCTCTTGGAGGAAACGGACATACTGCTCAGGGCTTCAGAAAGACGTACTCATCTGAAACCTCGATGGACGACTTCTTATAGCCAGACTTGCTCCTCTTCCTCAGCCCTGCAGCCTTCCTCCCCATTCTCACCAGCAGCAAGACCACCACCACTGCTGAGGGGATGAAGACAAGAACAGACAGGAGGCCCACAGAGGAGAGCATGGTGCCAAATCCTAGAGGAGGGAAGGAGAAGGTAAATGAGAGGGGCACGCCAAGGCATTCGTTTGACATGAGCTAGGCTCTACTTTTATTGCTATAAGTTGCTATAAATTCCTGTGGAAAAAGTACAAGAATACATACATGAGGAATCAGCAGGTGGTTGGAGTTAAGGCTCTGGACTCACAGGCTGATGCAGTTCGTGTCCCAGATCTGGCAGCTTAAAACTCACACCAGGCACATGGTGTGCATGCCCAAAATCCCAGGAGGACAATGGATCAAAAGGATATTTCACCAGCTGAACTAAGCTCTGCCGGCAAGGAAGGAAGGTGTGGATATGGGGGACTGGGTGCTGTCCAGGAGACAGGGCTCTTGGAGGAAACGGACATACTGCTCAGGGCTTCAGAAAGACGTACTCATCTGAAACCTCGATGGACGACTTCTTATAGCCAGACTTGCTCCTCTTCCTCAGCCCTGCAGCCTTCCTCCCCATTCTCACCAGCAGCAAGACCACCACCACTGCTGAGGGGATGAAGACAAGAACAGACAGGAGGCCCACAGAGGAGAGCATGGTGCCAAATCCTAGAGGAGGGAAGGAGAAGGTAAATGAGAGGGGCACGCCAAGGCATTCGTTTGACATGAGCTAGGCTCTACTTTTATTGCTATAAGTTGCTATAAATTCCTGTGGAAAAAGTACAAGAATACATACATGAGGAATCAGCAGGTGGTTGGAGTTAAGGCTCTGGACTCACAGGCTGATGCAGTTCGTGTCCCAGATCTGGCAGCTTAAAACTCACACCAGGCACATGGTGTGCATGCCCAAAATCCCAGGAGGACAATGGAGAAGGGATTGTGGTGTTGTCATCCCTCTGGGTCATCGTCACTGTCTCTCTAGCTATCTTTGGCAAGCATATACACCTTATGGCAAAAACCTAAAAATTCAAAAATAAATGCACAATGAGGATTAAAAATATACTCAAGGGACCAGTGGGTGACATGTGGCTAAGGTGCTAGACTCCCACATGGCCAACTCTGGTTTAAGTCCCAGACCTGGCAGCTTGCATTCTCATTTTCCCTTTCTCTCTCTCTGGTCAAATGAAAACATAATAGTAATAAGTATAATAATAACTAAAATTAAATAAATAATTGTTTTCTAAAAACAATCTAATTAAACAAACAAAAAATTTACTCATAATCTTATCTAGGAAGACTACTTGGGTACCTACTCATTCAGTCTTCTCTCAAGAGGTCTGGGTATGGGTGTGCATGTGGAGTTGAGCATATTTCTTCTTCTTTTTTTTTTTTTTAAGAGGTTTTTGCTTTAGAGCAGGCGCACTCACCAGAGAGAGACAGAGACAGTGAGAGAAAAAGTAAAAAATTAACACCTGGGTGGGAGTGGCCATGCCACAATTCCTTCTCCATTCTCCTCTCAGGATTTTGGGCATGCACACACATGTGACCAGTGCGATTTTCAGGCCACCAGGTCCAGGATTCAAACTGCAGCCGGCTATGTGGGAGTCCAGTGACGTAACCACTTGCCATCTGATGGCCTCAGAGTATACATTTGTATAAGTATGGATTACATTCTAGATGCCATTTAAACTTCCTTTTTTACTTAACATATGATAAATATTCTTAAAATCTCTTCCATAGGTGATGTTTAATGGCTGTAGAGTTTCTACCACATTAAATAGTCCAGTGAATCAATCCTCTACTGCTAGGCAGTGAAGTGGTGGAAAATTATTGGACACTACAAGTTACTTTAGGATGGCCATCCTTGTACTTATATATAAATCTTCATGCTTAGCTCTATTTCTTTTTTTTATTATTAATTATTTATTTATTCATTCATTTAATTTGACAAGAGAGAGACACACAGAGGGAGAGAGAGAGGGAAAGTGAGAAGGCAAAGTCACCAGGTCCAGGACTCGGCCTGTGGGAGTGTCTAGCGCCCTAACCACTGTGCCACCTGCTGGTCCCCACTTAGCTCTATTTCTTAAGTGGAATTACTAGAACAGAGGGCACATACTTTCAAGACACCTAATTCATGCTACTAAACTTTTTCCAAAATAATTATCAATTTCTATTCAGTTTTCTTAGAAAAACTATTAGTTTCTATTCCTGTCAGTAGTCTGAATGAATGTGCCCACATCTTTGAAGACTATGAATTAGTGTTTTTAGAAAGGAAAGAGAAAGAGAAGAAGATGAAAAGAGGGAGAGAGGGAAGAAAGGAAGGAAGAATTGAAAAAGTCTTGAGCAGTGATAAGGCTGCTGTAATGAGCCATAATGTATCCCTAAGTCTTTGGTTCCAATTCAGTTAAGGACGACAATGACCACTTAATAGTCACCAGGAAATAATGTAAAAAAAATAATTAACTAATTTAAAAAGTCAGTCCTTTGCCTACTCTCTTCCTATTTCAAGCTAAAAGAAAACTCTACCCTTTGCAGCATAAAATAACGACTACCTCCCATCATTAGAGAAGGCACTCTCTCCAGACGGAGGCAAGAATAGGGTCTCATAATGGGAAGTATGAAAATACAAGGGAAGGGAGCCAGCAGTTAGCGTAATGGCTATGTCGCTGGACTCCCACGTAGTTGACCGTGGTTCACGTCCCAGACCCGGTGGCTTAAAACTCACGCCAGGTGCGTGTGCGTGTGTGCCCAAGATCCCAAGAGGAGAATGGAGGAGAAGGGATTGCGGTGTGACCATCCCCCCTGGGGGGTGATTTCTCGCTTTCTGTCTCTCTGTCTCTCTCTGTCTGTCTGGCAAACGCACGCGCCCTATAGCAAAAACCTCTCCAAAAAAAGAAAAAGAAAATACAAGGGAAGCTGGAATGACTTCTGTTTCACAGAGGTAACAACCTTCCATTTACTAAGGGGTCTGCCTTGCATTCCCCAAGAACTTTGGTCACCAAAGTTAAAATGAAAAAAAAAGGGGGGGATTATGAAGAAACTATGATCATCATCAGAGAAATTCCAGTTTTCAAAACCAAGATTAAAAACTCACTCTAACAGGCATACCAGAAGAGCAGAAGAATGACTTTGACACAGGGAGCCAGTGACCCACCAAACTTGCAAAGACAGGCGGCCAGGCTTACTCCCGAGCTCTCCAGAAAGCCCGGGAATAGACCCAGCCCTGCAGAGCAGGCCAGTGGCGATGGCTTACCCCTCTCTGTGACCGTCAGCTCTGTCATGGGAATATTGTGGTGCACATCCGGGGGGTTCTTCACAGCACAGCTGAATGTCCCGTTGTCCTGTATGGTAGGGCTGTTTATGCTTATGGACGCGTCCCCTTTGTACACATTTCCAGCCCAGGAAATCCGATCCCGAAATGTGCCTGCCGTGGTCGGGTACTCGAAAGACTGGTAATGAAAAATCTAAAATCATGAGAGAGAAAATTACTTTGGAAAATGTAATGAAAATGTAAAGCTAGGGAGGTCCAAAATGAATACAACTCCATAAAAGATTTCCTCAGCTGGCCTACTGTTTTCATGCTTTTTGCTTCACCTCCATCCTACAGATAAAAACACAGGTTAATAAAATTGATCAGAAAAAGAACTGATCAGAGAATTCTAACCTTTTCATCTCTTCTAAATTCTCCCCTAAAGTCCTAAATCAATAGTTCTTGGGGCCAGTAGGTGGCGTGGTGGCATGGTGGTTAAGAACACTAGACTCCTTGGGACCAGCAGTTAGCGTAATGGCTATGTCGCTAGACTCCCATGTAGTTGATTGCAGTTCGTGTCCTGGACCCAGTGGCTTAAACTCACACCGGGCACGTGTGTGTGCATGCCCAAGATCCCAAGAGGAGAATGGAGGAGAAGGGATTGCGGCATGGCCATCCCCCTGGGGGGTGATTTCTTGCTTTCTGTCTCTCTGTCTCTCTCTGTCTTTCTAGCAAGAGCACGCACCCTATAACAGAAAACCTCTCCAAAATAAAGGAAAAAAACAAAAACAAGAACGCTCGACTCCCATATGGCCAACCACAGTTCAAGTTTTAGACCTGGCAGCTTGCTTTTTCTCTCTTTCCTTCTCTCTCTCTCACTCTCTCTCGCTCTCGCTCTGTCTCTCTCTGGTCAAATTAAGATAAATAAATAAATAAAGTCAAATAAAATAAAAAGATAGTTCTTATCAGGCAATTTTTCCCTTCCGGTGGCATTTGACAATATCTGGGGACATTCTGGTTGTTACAATGGGAGAGGCGAACTATTGACACTAGTGAGTGGAGGCTGGGATACTGCTGAAACCGGTAAAGCAAAGGACAGCCCCCACAACCAGGACCCATCGGCCCCACAGGTCAGCAGTGCCCAGGCTGAGAAACTAACCTCTGCACAGCACTTCATCGTTTGCATGTGACTCCCCACTTGACTCACTGAAGCCCTGTAACCCCACGGAACTACATGAGACAGGCATGACTATTCCAAATTTATAGAAAGGGAAAAAAAGCCCAAAAGTAAAAAATTAAGTGAGTTACCTAAAAGTACATAACTAGTAAGTGACAAAAGGGGAGGGTTTTGTTTATTCTCAAAAGCACCAAGAAAGTGTAATACAATCCCACCTCTCTCAAGTATCTACCTTGGCAATTAATAGGAACCCCAAGTCCCAAGTCCAAGTCCGGGGTGAGCACTCAGTGAATGTATGTTGGATTCAAACGATGCTGCTTTAGATTTGGTGAGCAGACACTTACTTCATCACCAGAAGCGCTTACTTATACTCGCAGGAAGGCTGGGCGGGTACCCTACATGATGACTTCTCTCTTAGGCAAGACACAGGGCTTTCCTCTTTATTTGTTTACTAGGTAGCTTTCCACTTAGGAACCCAGGCATTTACAACCACAGAATTGCCTAATACCGAAGAGCAACCCAGAGAAGGTGCTGAAACACTTATTGCTTCATCTGTTTATGCATTCATTCAGCAAATATTTAGTACATTCCTACTATGTGCTAGGCACTGCGTTAAGCTAAAGCATATAAAGGGAACCACATAGGCACAGTCCCAGCTCTCATGGAACTTAGAGGGGAAGTAAAAAAAAAAAAAGTATTTGTGAGGGCCAGCAGACATTGTGGTTAACGTGCTGGACTCCCACATGGCCAACTGCAGTTCGAGTCCCAGACCTAGAGACTTGCTTTCCCACTTTCCCTCTCTCTGGTAAATTAAAACAATAAATAAATAAATCTTTAAAAAAAAAAATATGTGCTGAGTGTAAAAAATGCCTACCACTGAATCTCAGTATCGGGATAAAAAGGTTTGAAACTCCATAAGGACACAAGGCCTACTGTGTGTTTTCAAGAGTCATCTAACCTTGAGTTCCACGTTACTAAATTCTTGTGAACTAATTTCACAGAATCCTTAGTCTGACTAGCCATGATCACCAGCATCGTGTCATGTGACTTCAAAGTTTACTAATTCCAACCCCAGGTGAGTTTGTTGATTTTCTTACTTTCTCACTTTCTTATTTCTTTTCTTTTTCTTTCATTTTTTTTTTTTTTATGATTTTTGCTATAGGGCACACACATTTGCTGGAGAAACGGAGAGACAGAACGAGAAATCACTCCCTCCAGGGGGGATGGCCACACCACAAATCCTACTCCTCCATTCTTCTCTCGGGAGTTTGGGCACACACACACATGTGCCTGGCGTCAGTTTTAAGCCACCAGGTCCAGGACTTGAACCACAGTTGACTACAGGGGAGTCCAGCGATATAACCTTTACACCATCAGCTGGCCCCACACCAGCCCCAGAGAGAGCAGTACTGTACAAGAACCACTGTTTGCATTTAGGGTTTCTAAGTCCAGTAGCTCTGGACTGCTTGTTCTGTCCTACTTTTGGCCAACAAGGCCGAGCCAAATAAGGCCAGCCATAGCTACCTAATCACTCAGAATAGCGTGAACTATTTCAAGCTTGGAGAAAAAGGGACCACAAATACAGCCTGGCTTCCTTCACTAGGGTCACCTACCTAGCTCCGAGCTACATGACATTTGAAAATGGCTCTGGAAACAGAATTCAAAGCTTCTACTTTTAAATCAAAGAAAGTTTCCCAATGAAGGAAACAAGATCAATAAATTAAGAGTATGTTCAAAAGTATAATCTTGCATACGGCCACAACATCCACACTCTTGAACGGCATCTATCCTGAGCTAAGGCTACTGCTGGAAGCATAAAGAGAAAGGGTTTTTTATAGCACTGCAATCTTCAATTAGACACCCACAATGGGATATGAATCGTAAATGTGTTTTATAGTGTGACTAAAGTATATTGCTTCTAATATTTCAAGACCATCTGTCACCAACATCTGTCACCAATACACAGTGCCACCATTTCCTTTAAAGCCATATAAATCAGCTATATAAATCAGTGCAGATGTTTATATGCTGGGAGAAGATGCCAAGATAAAGCTACACAGCATAGATATGCAAACAGACACACCCACTGAGACAACTTTGAACTACAGGAAATGAGCAGGTTTAAGAAAAAGGATGTCTGTAACAGAGGCCGATAGACGTTTTCTACCTAACAGTCCTGGAAGAACACTTTTTAGTACATTAAATCTGAAAATGAAGCTATGGCACCCTACTCCCACCAAAAAAAAAAATTAAACCACTTTTTTTCTGAGTGTCTGCCAATTGTTTTGGCCCACAGTTTATTTGTAAGATTCTTACACAGAAAAGTGAAAAGCTGTATATGGAGGCCAGCAGGTAACATAGTGGTTAAGGTGCTGGACTCCCATGTGGTCAACCGCAGTTCAAGTCCTGGACCAGTTCTTTTTTTTTTCTTTCTTTTTTTTTTTTTTTGAAAGGTTTTTGCTATAGGACACGTGCACTTGCCAGAAAGACAGAGAGAGTCAGAGAGACAGAAAGCGAAAAATCACCCCCCCAGGGAGGGATGGCCATGCTGAACTCCCTTCTCTTTCATTCTCCTCTCAGGATCTTGGGCATGCTCGCACACACGCCCGGCGTGAGTTTAAGCCACCAGGTCCGGGACTCGAACCACCGTTGACTAAATGGGAGTCCAGCGACATAGCCATTACGCTAACTGCTGGTCCCAGGACCAGGTGTCTTGATGCTCACACCAGGTGCGTGTGCATGCCCAGAATCCTGAGAGGAGAATGAAAGAGAAGGGATTTCAGCATGGCCATCCCCCGGGGCATAACTTCTCGCTTTCTGTCTCTCTGGTGAGCGCACACACGCTCTATAGCAAGAATCTCTTAAAAAAAAAAAAAGATCACATAGGGTAGAAGTTTGTCTTCTTCCATGTAAAAACAAAAAGCTGATCTATTCTGATATGAGATGAGCCCACATGTGTCTGTGACTTGCAATAAAATAATTCTAAAACTGTTGACCCCAGGAGACTCAAAGAAACTCTCTCAAAAGTACACACTCACCGATTCTGTGCGACTACTGCGGGGAGGGCGGTAAGTCCAGTCGATGGTCAGTTTGTCAGTAACGGCTGAACTTGACTTGAAGCTGCACTTCAACTTGACCTTTTCTCCCACATAACCTCGGACATGGGCATCCGCAGTGATCTCCAAGGAAAGGGCCGGATGAACACCTAATCGAAGCAAGCCCAAACACTTCAAACGCATTCATTTGGTTGGAATCGACAGCTGGGAGTGAATAATGCAGAGATGCTGTTTATCATGTTTAGGGCTCTCATCAAAAAGTCAGGACAAGAAATATCTTCTTGGGCAAGCCCACAAGGGACAAGGAGCTGATATCTGCATTAATCAAGCCTAGCATGTTTATCATTTCGTAATCTTAAATCACTAAGTGAATGGTTGGGTATAAATTAAAAACCTGGTCACACCGGCATTTTTCCCAAAACAAGCTTGTGATTAAATCAAGTACAACCAAATAGCTCTCCCCACAGCCAGCTAAATATACGGACACTGTTGTGCACCCCTCCAATCCTCGTTAGACACACACACACACACACACACACACACGCTCCAGGAATGTGACAACTCTCGTGAGCTAAGGGACTTACTTACCCCAGGTATAGCATGGTTATAACATTAACCTATCAGTGCCTTGATCACCAGCAAAATGAGAATAGGAAATAAGAATGTTTTTTCAAAGAATTTTTCTCTAATCAATCCTAGGTTCTATCTACCTAGTCCCCACCATCGCACACGCTTCTTAAAGCTGATTTATTAATCCAAAAGGAAATCATGGGAAGGTCAGTCCCATAGCCTAGTGGTTAATGGAGTTAGATCCTACATGGCTAACAATGCAGTTCAAATCCCAGCCCCAGCGGTTTGACAACCACATCAACCACATGTGCATGCATGCCCCAAATCCTGACAGGATAGAAAAATGAAGAAGGGATTGCAGCATGACCACACCCCACTGGGGGCTGCTTTCTCCATCTACCCTTCTCTTTGTCTCTCTGTCTCTTTCTGGTGAGCATATATACTTTATAGCTAATTTACTTTCAAAAGTAAATCATGGAGAAACCATCAGATGGTGTAATGGTTAAATCGCTGGACTCCCAGGTAGTTGACTGCAGTTCAAGACGTTGACCTGGTGGCTTGAAACTCACACTGGGTTGGGACCAGCAGTTAGCATAATGGCTATGTCGCTGGACTCCCATGTAGTCGA